AGCCTCCCTCTCAGGGAAGCCACTGAGATGGTTTCAAGACACAAGTCATGTCATTCCTGACTTAAAACCCTCCAGTGGTTTTCTACTTTATTTGAAATAAAAACTAAATTTCTCACCATAGGCCATACTTCTCACCACTGACTTTATCTCCAGCCTCCTCAGCTTGCTTATGACCTTCCACCCCACTGGGTTTCTATTTGTGTTTTGTCAGGCCACTCTTCTCAGCCCCCAGACCTTTGCACTGGCTGTTCCCTCTACCTGGAATGCTCTCTCAGATCTTCCCAAGGCTGGTTCATTTTCAAAATTTGTATTGCAGCTCCAAGATCACATCCTCCGAGAGGCCTCCCCTGACCATCTGCCATAAGTTCTCCCCCATCTCTACCCACCATACAGTCATTTTCAATCTATCACTATTTTGTTTCCATTGTGGAACTTGTTACTTTCTGAGAGTGCCTCTTTCATAGACTTGCTTGTGCATTATCCACTTCTCACCCTCTGGAATGTAAGTTCTCTCTAGTTCATCCCAATGCCTGACACAGTGCCTGGCATACAGCAGCTGCCAATGAACTTATGCGCACTGACAAATAATTCTGTACAGTAGTTTCTCCCGTACCTTTATATCCCTGATCTTATTAGAGCATCTCTCCCTGCCTCCTGGCAGCCTCTGCATCAGGCAGGAAGATATGCACACTCCCCCAAACCTCCCTGCTAATGCAGAACACACAAGTGGCACTCTGGTTCACTCCCCAGCAGCGAGGGCCCTCCTCAGGAGTCTAATTTAGCGGGGCCTGGATTTTGCATTTTTAAAACAAACACCTCCAGATGATTCTCATGGTGGAAGGTTGGGCAAACACTGCACTTGGCCACGGAAAAGCATAGAATCAAGGCCAGGCTGTATATTTCAGGCAGCAAAGTCAGACCTCCAATGCCTGCTGACTTCAGTGGAGAGGGAAGGGAAGCTACCCACCCAGTAGCTGTTACCATGGTCCCCATCTTGACCAAAATGGAGACAGGTCCTTGTGACCACGCTGGTCTCCCCCATCATCATAGGCATTGGTTATTTGCTGCCCTAGCAACCAGGCTTCCACAACCGAGATCACCCACTTGTGTTCTTTTGGGGTCTCAGTGGATCTGCCCGCAGCAACATCGTGGGGCCTGGGAGCCTGGCCTAAGCCCATTGCCTGTGACTCGTGTTCCTTGGCCAGTGATTGGTTTGGAGTAAGCACGTGACTTGAGTGTCCAATCAGAGGGATGCTTGGGTGGGCATTACTATAGAAGGGGCTTCCTCTTTCCCCTTGGGCTAAACCAGATGGGATGATGGGACAACTCAACACCCACTTGACACCTCAGTTATGAGAGGCACCAGTGTTTACGGAGGACCTGGCTGGGTCAGACACCGTCTTAAACACCTGACCTGGATGACCTCATTTCATCCTCTACCACAAACCAGAAGACAGGTGCTATGGTCATTATTTGCCAGATGAGAACACCCAGGCACGGGAAGGTTAAGTGACACTCCCCAGGCACACAGCTGGGCCAGCAGCCAGGCCCTCCCAACCCTGGTGCCAGAGCCCGCCCGCACCTCAGAGCGGGAGAAACCAGCCCTGTGAGGGCACAGCAGAGATGGAAAGGAATGGATCTGACAAAATTTGTACCCTGACACTAGCTGTGGCTGAAGCTAGAGTTACCTTAGCATTTTGGGGTTATAAAAGCCAAGACCCCTTTTCTCTTTATGTTGGTTTGAAATTTTTTTCCCTCTTTCTGTTGCTTACTAGAGATCCTGATTACCTCACAGAGGAAAATACCCCTAACTGATACTCCATTTGCAACTTGCACACAGCAGCTGCTCGGTAAACATCAGCAGATGTGTGTGAAGACTGCTCTCCCTTCCCGCCCATTAACTGCTAGGTCTGTAACCCTAATGCCCAACTGCGACCAGGCCCACGCCACTTACCCCTTGTGCTCCAAGTGAGGCCTTGTTCCCTAGCAACCACCCCAATTAGGCAATCATGCCATTTATCAGGATGCCAATTAATTATAATGATCTTAATGATCTTCCAATTAGGTAGGACCTTGAATCTGGATTGTGGCGTTGCAGATTTCCCAACCAGGACCCATCACAAGGAGGCCCCCGGAAGGCAGGCCCAGGTAAGACCTCCCTTGCTTGCAGGTCAGCATTAAGCAGCCCCACCTTCCACACCCATCAGGTAGACAGGGCCCAAGACCAGTACAAAATGCCCTGGACCAGTGCGACTCCACCACTAACCACAAGAGGGCCTCACCTCTAGAATTTTAACCTTGCCATTGTGCTTTTAGGGGGCGCAAACCTTCCCCTTGGGGCTCAAGGCCTTTTTTCAGTCAACCATATTTGATATTTCCCTTTGCATTTTGACTAAGGGACAGTGTGTGTATTCTTTCGGTCAGAAATAAATATTGCCAGGAAGTCACATATTTTCTTCAGAGTAAAACCCCCAAACCAAAATACAAACCTGAGTGAGACTCCCCAAACAGTGAAGGTTTTTGTGGAGAGAAGTGGGAATCCTGATGGGCTTCTGCCTTTCAAAGTTTTATTGTCTAAATGTGTTTTCTTCTGCTGTGCATGAGTTTATTCCACATTTGGAAGAAAAGGCCAAGGTCATGGTGGGAAGAGAGTACAGTGGGTCAGAATGGACCCTGCAGCCTCAGGGCCTCTTGAATCCTGGCTGTCAGCATGTTACATCCTCTTGGTGCCTCAGTGTCCTGGTCTTTAACATAAGGACAATCACCAGATCTTCCTCACAGGGTTGTCATGCGGATTAAATGAGTTTTTATGTAGAAGGGCTTAGAATAGTGCTTGTCTATAAAACATTAAGTTTTACCTATCACTTTAAGTTTAGACTAAGCCCTTTCTTTTAACTACAAGCTGGTCAGAAATGCTGACATTTCTCTGCAGGACAGAGGTTTTGGTCTCTTTCTGATGGGATGAAGTCTAAGGACAGACTTGATGAGTTGAGTGATACTCCCCATCTGCCTAATTCAGGAGACCAGAAACTGCCCCCTGGAGGCAGGTACAAACAGAAAAATACAACACATCAGGGGAAGAAAGAGGGAGATGTTATCCCTGAATCAAAAGGTGGACTTCAAATGTCGGGGTATGCAACCACACATCGACTAGGTCCTCGGGATGGCGATGGAATGGAGCCGTTAGGTGGGGGACATGTACATGTATATACACACTGCACACAGCCTCCTCCAAGCCCAGGCTTTTTACAAGCAACTCATCGTTCAACCCCTAAGTTTTAAAACTTAACATGTTATTAGGGTTTCAGAAAAAGCCATAAATTCAAATAAAAAAAACCAATAAATATGCACCAAGCCCAAACTCACACTCTCAACCGCGGCAGTTATGTCGACATCACACATTGAAGTCCATAAACTTGACCCAAGGAAGGAAGATGCCGCACGCGCAAATGTCCAGCATGCCAGCAGCCAAGCCCGCCACTATCACCCTTGGAGCTGCTTATTAGAACACCAATCACACACCCGGACAGGCTCTTTGGATGAGTGCTCTCTCCTGCATGATGGGGGACCGGCAAAGCTGGGGAACCTCCCTTACAAGGTGAGCGGTCTTCAGTCTGTCCTCCCCACTCCTTTGTCATGTGATGAACAGCTTTAACTGAAACCCTCCCAGGGCTCTGCAATGGGCAGCAGAGACACAGTAAGAAATCTCCTTCGCTATTAACTATGGGATGAGGGTAACTCTCTGCCCTGGGAAGACACTGGGTGTTTGTCCTCCAGGGAACGCCCATCTTACCTGCTTTTCTGCCCCCAGAGAACCTGCTCAGGGCAGCCTCCCTCCTCTGCTCCAAAGGGAGGGAGGGGGCACTGTGGGAAAGGGGCAGGGGACAGATGGAGGGACACGAGAGGGCGGGTGTCCCGACATGCACAGATGTGCAAATACCCAGATTCAAACGTAAGCTGAATGTAATTACTTGGTTAATTAAATATTGACTTTTAACTCAAAAAGTGATTAAAACATGCTGCAGGAAAGACTGTGCAGAGAGGAGTGGGGGCAGGGAGTAATCAGAACTTTCAGGAGGGAGATGAAGATGGGGATTATCAAAGTGAAGGTCTGCACTTGTCCTAATGTGTGCAGGGGGCGTGGTCTTCAGTCTCTAAGCGGGTGGAGGATTTCAGAGACCCCTGTGCAAAACTAGGATCTTCGGGTGTCTCCTTACATTTTTCCATCCTAAGACCCCATCTCTTTACCAGGCTGCCCTCGAAGTGAACCAGAGAGCTTCTGGCACTCAGGAACTAGGTATTACTGTTCACTGCCTTTTCCCTGGAACATAACGCAGTGCCTGGCACATGGGTGCTCCGTAAGTGCTTATAGAACGAATGAACTAGTATAAAGAATGTTAAAAAAAAAAAAAAGTGCACCGCTAGAAAACGCCGCAGCTTCACCTTAAAAGTTCCGACACCTTTGGGAGTACTTCTCTACAAGGTCACGAGAACTGGTTCTGACCCAGCCAGGGAGGAAGTTTCTTCTCAATCCTATTTGCCCTTTCAGTATCTGTGAGTTCCCAATGACTCTGAAGATTCGGTCCACCGCTTTCCCGTGTCCTGCCCGGACAAGCCCACGTGGTCTGGCTTCTAGCCGGTCCGTTGGGTCTAAACTCAGAGGGGTCAAGGAGGCCATCCCCCTGCGGTCTGCGGGCCCACGCGCGCTCCCCCGGGCCCTCCAGGACTCCCCGTGGCTCCTTCGCGGGTCGGGGGCGCCATGGGAAGTCCTCTCCCGCTAGCCTCGCCGTCCAGTGGGGTCAAACGGGTCATTCCCCTGCGACCCGCCGGCGCCTCCCTCCAGCCAGCCGGGTGCCACCGACGCACGCTGCGCGGGGGCCGGAGCGGGGCGGTCGGGGCCGGCTCGGCTCACCTGGGCGGCGCTCGCGGCCGCGCTCACCGGAGGGCTCCGGCCGCGGGGAGCACCCGCCCCGCCCACCTGGCCTCCGCGCCCCACTCACCCGCCGCACGGCCCGGCGGCCTCACCCGGCGCGCGGCGCCGTCGCCCTTGCCGCAGCCCGGCCGAGCCGCGGGGCGCAGGGGACTCCGCGCCGCTGCCGCCGCTGCATCCCCGGCGAGCGCTGCCGCCGCTCCGCCTCCCCGCCCTTCGCCTCCTCCCGCCTCTCCGCCCCGCGGCCACGCCGCCGCGGCCGCCCCCGGCTCCCACCCCGGCGCCCCGCCCTCGCCAAAGTCCGGGTCCGCGCCCCGCCCGGGCCGCCCTTACCTCGCCCCAGCCCGGCGGCGGCGCTGCGCGAGCCAGCCCCTTGGCCCGGCGCGGCCCGGCTCTGCGCCCGCCCGCCGGCCTCCGCGCGGGCGGAGGCGAGCGCGCGCCGGGGCGGGGAGCGCCGGGCCGGGGGCCGCGGGCGGCGGGGGCCCCGCTGCTGCGCCCCCACCGCGCGCGGGCGCTTTACCTCTGCTGGAAGGACGCGCGGGCGGGCCGGCCCTGCAGCCCCAGCGCACCTCCCTGGCCCCGAAGTCCGGCCCCGGACGGGGGAGCGGCGGAGAGCGGGTCCGGGCGGCTCTCTTCCCGATACCCCGGGGCCCGGCCGGCCGCGTTCCCGGCTCTGAGCGCGCACCCTCCCGGGCCACAGCCGCACACTTACCCACACACACTGGCTCCCGCTCGCCCTCGGCGGAGAGTTGAAACAGCTGTGGGATTCGCCCAGGAGCTGGAAATGAGGGAGGGACGTGAGGCAGAGCCGTGCGCGCGCGTGTGTAACACACAAACGAGGGGGGCATGTCTAATAAATCAAACATCGCAATCAAGTCAGGAGGGCCATCGATCAGGCCCACTTGGCTGGAAACGAAGAGAATCCTTGCCTCTTTTCCGCTTTCTTTTTCCCCTCCCTTGGAGCTGGAAGGAGCCCAGTGTTCCCCCGGGCGTGTGACAGCTCCGGCCGGGCGCTCCCCTCGTAATGACACGTTAATAAATGTTTTCTTTTATCTGCTTTCACAAGGGCTCGCCCGGGTCTGCAAACACTCCACAGCCTTTGCTGAGAGTCCTGCGCTCGCCTCTAACTATGCACATCTGCCTTTGGAGACGCTGGCTCGAGCCTGCGCGCCGCTAGATCGCAGTGAACTGCCCACGCACCCGGGACCTTCCCACGCGCCCGGGAAGCTTCCCGAGGTGTTAACTTGAGCTCAAGTGAAAATAGCTGCTGTTGCCTACAAACGGTCCGGGAATAGGGAAGAAAGGAGAAACGGGTTTCCTCCGAAGGGAGAGGAATCCGACTGAAGGTGGTGCTGTCTACCGCGGTTTTCCATTGTCCCCAGTGCCACAGAAGAAGCCGGAGGCGGACGGGTTGACCGCGGTGGGCCAAGAGCCAGAGAACCAACTAGCAGCTGCAGAAAATACAGCTGAGCTGCTCAGGGGAAACTGACCCTGTGGCATATAAGTGTACTTGGAGGCAATAGTAACTCTCTGGAACCTAATAATAATCGTACAGGGTATTATACCCGTTAAACAGACGTGGAGACCAAGTCACAGGGAGGTTGAGTAACGGGCCTGGGGGGCGGGGGTCAGACCATTGTAAGTAGTGGACCCAGGATTTGATCCCGAAAAGCTTGGCTCCAGAGTTATACTCTGAAATCCCAGGCCATTGTTACTTTCTAGCCCAGCTTCTCCTTTCTCTGATGTAATCTTTTATGCCAGTTAGGGTTGCCATATTTAGTAAATAAGAATGTAGGAGGTCCATGAGGATATACTCCTACTAAAAAATTCTTAATTGTTCACCTGAAGTTCAAATTGGGTGTCCTGAGCCCCTTGGAAACTCTAGACTCTCTCCGCCATAATCTCCCTTAGCCACCCCAGATCAATTACAATCCAAAGTAATGAGAGAAACCTGGAACTTTTTCCAAAGGGCCCCACCGTCGGCACCAGTGAGGTTGCTGATTGTCTACCTTCCTTTGCTTTGGAACCAAACACCAGGCTTAGTTCTTCAGCATCACCGACCAAAAAATAATGTGGACCTTCTCCCTCTTTGCCTCACCTCTGTGGAAGGAAGGTTACATTTATTCCCGACCCTCTACTACAGTGCTGTTTGGTAAAACTGTACAGCAGACCACGTACATAATTTAAAATTTTCTAGTAGCTGCATGAAAAAGTAAAAAGAAACAGGTGATACTAATTTTAATGTAATTTATTTAACCTAGTGTATCCAAAATATGATCACTTCAGCATGTAATCAATATATAAATTATTAACGAGATATTTTACATTCTTTTTGCTTATTAAGTGTTTAGAACCTGGAGTGTATTTTACACTTACAACACTTCCCAATTCAGACCAGAGCCACATGGGGCTGGGGGGGCCCATACTGGACAGTGTAGCTCTAGTGGGCTTCATGCTGCAGTGCTGAGTGTTCCCCTCAGGTTATCTCATGTAATCCTCTTAATCTTTCAAGAAAACTGGTGCTGAGAAAGGTAAATAGTCTTGACCAAAGTCACAAAGTTGGCAAGTGGGATTTTACCCCATTTGAGGCTGGGCCAGGCTTTGGACATGTATGTCTGCAGCAGCAATTTTCTAACTGGGTCCAGGAGCCTCAGGGGCCTGGGGTGGAGGTGTGGGGGAGAGCTGTCTTTTGTGTGCCTTTTATGTTGGGTTCTGGAGAATATTTCAGCGGCGGCAGGATTCCCACCACAAAAAGTTCACAAACACTCTGCCTTCCCTCAGGCCTTAAGTTCATAAATACAGATCCACTTTCCCTAAAAGGCTCTACCCACCATTTTTCCTGGCATCCTTGTCTTCTCAACAGGGAACTGTAGAAATGGAGGGGCAGCTCATAATCCCCTACATGGGGCTATAGACGGGGCTGAGATGGTGTCATTTGTTTGTCTTTTTGGATATTTATTCTTTCCACTTTTGCTGTTCAAAGACCAAACATGGTGATGTCTGTGTTTTGCCCCTTATCCTGCATTAGGAAAAAGGAGGCATATCTTGTGTCAGCACCTCTTTGCATGTGTGTGTGTGTGTGTGTGTGTGTGTGTGTGTGTTCACTGTAGGCAGGTGCTGTGGGTCAGGTTTCAGGTCAGGATGTAACTCAGCAGCTCAGACACCCACGGGGTCGGAGGGTCTGCAAAGCCACCCTCTGGCCACGTTCCTTTTCTGTAATTCACAGCAAACTTCACAGTTCTCTGGATCTGAGGCCTCAGCCTAAGTTTTCCAGGTTCCTTCCAGGCAGGTGAGGACCCCTGGCCCCACTCAGGAGCTCAGTGTCTGCCTGGGAGATGGGAGGGGCCTCAGGGGCTCAGGTGTCCCCCAGCCTGGGAAGTCACTCAGCCACAACCGAGCGCAGGTCTGGTGGGGCCTCAGCAGACTCTCAGGACCTCCTGACCTCCTGATTCTCCAGCCCCACCCGTCTCCAACCCCATGGTCTGGGACAGCCTTTCCCTTCTCGTGTCCCTCATCACCCGCCAGCGTATTTTACCGCGATCATCTGGTTAAATACCTGGATTTTGCAGGCTCCTCAACCCACGCGGGGCCCCCCACCCACCTTGGTGGTTTAGCTGTGAGGGGCCCTCTCGCTTGACATCCACATGCCTCCTTTCCTCTTGCGAGTTTCTTGGCGGCCCTTCTGTGCGGAACGCCCATCTGGTTTTATCTACCTTGTAAAGCCAGAATGTTGTTTTATTTCCTGAACTCCTATGCAATAATTTTTAAAAAAGAACTCACTTCTGCTGTGTGTTTCTTTATCTCCTCTGCTGTGTGTTTCTTTATCTCCTTCAAGAGGCTGAAACTCAATCTGATTGTCCGAGGACTTTTGGCTGCATTTGGTTTGGAGTAGATGAGATTTTATGAGGATTGTAAAAGTCAAGCTTTTAACGTGTCTCAAACAAATTGGCATGTGAAGGAGAAATGTTAAAAGTGGAAACATGGCTGCAGATGGGAGGCTTGGGAATGTGAGCTGCACAACTGGAGCACAGGTGGCTTAAATAATCCACACAAGTTTGGCTGTAACTTGCTTCTACAAAGCAGAAGAGGCTGGAGAGTCACTCCGGGGGTTGGGGTCCAACTTCTCAGCTCCTGAATAGGGACAGTTTTGCAAGTGTTTTACAATATAAATCTCAGCAGCATCCATAACATTATAAATTTGTGGTAAATTCTGAGTTTGCATTTAGACACAAGCTGTCTTGTCGGTAGAAATGCAATTGCATTTGAGAAAAACCGTTTATATTTCTTGAGATATTGTGATAATCAAAAACAGCACCGTAAACACCTATTAAGTCAAAAGAACATTGATTGTATTTCATGCTGCCTCCCTGGGCTGGCACACTTGACACAGACATGCTTTATTTCAGCAAAACAGGTTCTATCTTTGCAGCATGGTACCTGTTGCCCCGCTTAGTTACACATAATTGTATAGTCTAGTTTATTCTAATGCCTGATGCCTAAATGTGCACATTCATGAATCAAGGGATAGATTGGGAGGTAGAAGAATTATGCAGGGGCATAACTGCAGTTTCTTGGGGACTGCTTATGAGTGATCTCAAAAAGTGAAGGTGTTTATTCTGAATACTCACTGTTGGGCTGTCTCCAGTTAAGAATGCAGATAACAGACAATTTGTCTAGCTGCTTAACAATACACCAATAGTTTTCTTTTGAATAAGCAGGGAAGAAAGATGAAATATGTGAATTTCATGTAATTTGTGATGTGATGAAACAGACACACAAGTGGCACAAGTCCACGTGTAACTGAATATTAAAACAAGTGATGTGGCCTCTCACAGCACCGCGGCAAATCTCTGTGGACAAGGCAGAGCTTGTAGATCTCTGATGGACGAAGGTTTTCTAAAGGAGAAAAGCAGGGTCCCTTTGACCCTACTTGTAACTCAATTTAGTCTCTCTCTGTGATAGCACACTTCATTTTACAATCGCCTTCCAGAAAAATCACTTTTGAGTTTTGATGGTAGTGAATCATTTGCCAATTTTAATCAATGTTGGTGGTGACTTGGTAAAAGTAGAATGCTATTCCATGGCCAAAGTTCTACTTAACCTGGACTTGCCCCCACTGAAAGGTGACTTCTTAGCTGATCTCTCCTGAATCTCGGTTTCTTCATATTGAGTGATGATATTGAGGATATAGTAGGTTGTC